CCTCAACCCTATAAACCCTAAATCCCAAACCTCAGAACCGAAGGACTCCCTGCACTGCCGGCCAAGCCTCACAGAGTCTCCGAAGCTTCGGGGAGGTTAGTCCTTCTCCAATGGCGGTCTAGGGTTTAGGGTCCAAGACCCGGGGAATTTCGGGGGCCTCTTAGGTTCTAGGGCTTGAGGGTTTTATTTTTAGGGCTTTAGAGTTTTGGGGTGGAGGGTTTAGGGCTCTAGAGTTTTAGGGTTGAGGGTTTAGGGCTTTAGAGTTTTAGGGTTTTTAGGGTTTTAGGGTTTGGGGGCTTTAGGATTCTAGGGTTTAGGGGTTTTAGGGTGTTGGGGGGTTCTTAGGGTTTGGGCAGTAAGGTCATGTCTCCTGGTTATGGGGGTTGTAAAGGAGGTAAGCTCATGATGCCCCCCTTCAGACCGAATTTCCGCTGTTCACATTTTAAGCTTTTCAGGGATTTGGGGTTTTAGGTTTAGGGGGCTTATCCAGGTGTACTTCGCAGTAGGCCGTGAGTAAGGTTTATCTTCCAACCCTACACCATTGTGTTTTGGAGAAGGAGCCGTGTCACCCATGACGACAGCCTTGAGCCCGAACCAGAAATGCTGTATCAAAGCAGTTGGGGCGTATGGTCAAGGGTTCAGGTTCTTGTGGAGCCTGCAACAGCATCTGAGCTTTGAGAAGGTTTCAGTTGTGCGGTGTTGGTTTTCGTGCTGCACGCGACAGATTTGACTGCAGTCGGTCTGCATTTGTCTTACAGTCTTGAAACCAGCGGTTGCTCGAGCTTGTACCCCAGACTCCTGAGGATCAAAAGGCCTCTTTGCCAGAATGCCTTCAAGACAGACTCGGCTTTTTTTGCTGGCATCCATAGAGCCCGAAATACACACGCGCCAATATTCGCTAGCTAGCGGCTAGCGCCTATTTACACTCGCTAGCCCCAAATGTATACACCTAGCTTCACATGGCATAGCCAAAGCCCTAAACCCTGAAGGGAGGAACAAGACCGGAAGATATGTAACAGGGGACCGCATACAGTTTGCTTCATGCCCCCTCTTGTGGTTTTTTTTTGGATCGCACCTTCTCTTAGAGAGGGTCTTCAGACAGGAGCTGCACGGGTTCTCATTGAAATGGCTTGGCTTTGGCTTGGCGTGTAAGCTGAACACGGTAGTAATAAGATTAATTAATAATAGTAGTATACTTGTTTGGTTTATGGAAAGTTACTTAGTTTTTATTCTCACAACAAACATTTATAGAGGTACAAACAGGGTAAAATGAAGGTACAGGGAAAAGGTACAAGAAAGGTGCCTCCTTCGGGAGAAGGCAAAACCAAGGTACGGGGAAAAGAAAAGGAAGGTGTCCTATTAGGGAGAAGGCAAAATAAAGGTAAAGGCAGAAGGTAAAAAGGAAAGGTATAGCACCGCCGCCACCGGTTGGGGTTCGCTAAGCTTAGAGGCTTCAAGGAGGAGAGCGGGGCTTGGCTTAGAGGTGCTTCTTCGAGAAGGTGCCGGGAAAGGGGCGGGGGGCCCGATCCCTACGCCATCCTCCCTTAGCCGCGCGGGTCCTGCCCTCCCCCTTCCGGGTCTCCTCCGACTGCAATGTCCGCCCTGTGCTTACTTGAAGGTTTCTCTTCTTCTTCGTGCGCTACCTTCGCTTTACTCTTTCCAGATACCTGCTACCTTGTTCATCATCTGTCTCAGATACCTTGTGTTTACCTTTAGAAACACGATACTAAGTTTTACGCCTTTTACCACTAGTCTCATTATTACACCGCACCTAATGTAAGATATAGAAACCCCAAACGACCATATAGCCCCTACATAGCACTCTGAAGCCCTGCTCCAACTACTGAGACGCCTGGGCCTATCCTATACTCCTAAACCCCAAACCCTGAACCCTCCTAAACCCTAAACCCTGAACCCTCCCAAACCCTAAACCCTGAACCNNCCCTGAACCCTAAACCCTAAATTATAGAGACCTGTAACGAAGCCCTTGCAAGGAACCCGTATAGAACTCCCTTCTTAAGGAACCTGTAGAATTCCCCCCTAAAGCGTAAGTACCCTTAAAGGAGCCCCGCAAGGAACCCGTATATCTTTAAAGGAACCTTAAGAGCCAAAGTCCCTGAAAGCAGAGGGCCCCAGACACGAAAGCCACAAGAACCAGGAACCTGGGCTTTTTTGAGTTTAGGGTTTACCAGGACCCCCCTTTCAAGTATCCGTGAATAGGGTCCTTGTGGTCCTTTATAGCGGATACTTAGGGTATATTAGGGGGGGGAGTGGGGGGGGGGGGGGCTTAGGTTTTAG